AGTTATTTTTTTTTGTTTTTATATATATATATATATATATATAAATATATATATATATATATATAAATATGCAACCCAACAGATTGTGGGCGAGTGGTCAAGTTTGAGGTAAGAGGTAACTCCACCTTGAAGTAATTTCTGGGTTTATATGATCTATATATAAAGACTGTTCTCAAACCATAAGTTTATATAGTCAGCGCGTCTCAAAGATATATATATATATATATATATATATAAACGAATATATAGACGTGGGTAGGTATGTCTTACAAGCAAAGGAAATATCAATTATAATGAAGACAAAACATACAATCGATATAATATATGAGACTGCTATTAAGAACAGATAAACATCTTAGGTGGACATACGTTTTAATATACATATATATAAGCTGTCTCTCCTATCAAATCCAATTTATAAACATTCGTAGATATATTATAAACGTACGGTCAACTTCCGTAGCGGTTGCAGGGCTATAAAATAACCTAGTATTTTAATCGAATCTTCCCGCGAATTTAGATTTCTTTAATATATATTACACATACATATTTAGTTATATATAGATGTTAATAAATAAAAATGTGTTAATGGGGCTCATGAGAAGAATAACAATAATGGTGGCTCCACTTGACTCGACCCTTCCATGTGCCATCATAGACTCGTAGCGCTGCCAAAAGCCGTATAAATTCTGTGGGCGCTTCTTTATAATTTGATTAATTTGATGCTTAAGTTTTATTATTGCATTAATGTTTACCTTAATAGACAAAACAACTAGCTTTGGTTTTGTTAGACTTAATTTTAGTTTCTCTTAAGGAAAAAAAATTCTAACTCAAATTGTTTGTAAATCAACAAATTTTGAAATTCGCTATTGTATTTTTTTGCTTCATACCGGAGTTTTTTTTATACACATCAAATAATAAAAATAAACATTATATACTAATATGAACAACTTAAAATATAGATTCGTAATATATATGTAGTATGTACGGATGGTGTGATATTAGTGGTATAATCCTATTAACAATGTAAATTACTATTCACCACGGACGATGATGTCAGAGAGGAAAATCTTGTCAAACTTCACCCTCATTTCAAAGTTAGAAAATTTGAAGATATTCGAAATATACACCGCAAATAAAAATAATAAAATAAAACAAAAACAAAATTATCTTCTCGTTTAAACTAAAGCCGTCAAAGTATTACACCCGAAATTTCTAAGGCGACAAATTGATTGAAAAAAAAAAACAAATTGCTATTATTCTACCCTAATTAAAAATAAGAATTTCTATTTCAAATATAGATTATATTTGGATTTGAAAATTGATGTATATTTTATGTATAAATTAATTATATAAGAGATAATTCCTATTTTATAAAATAAAATAAAATTTATTTTTTAAATATGTTTTCTTAAATAATAAACGATGCATTTTTATGACAAATTTAAAGTACAGATTATTTTTGCTTAAAATTAAAAGTCCATTTTTTGTGAGTTTATCTTTTTTATTAGATTTTGATTTTATTAATCCTAATATATATATATATATGTGTGTGTATATATATTCTTTTTATTTATAATAATGTTTATTTTTATAAAAATATTATTATTTGATTTTGATTCTTTTTGTATTTGATTAATTTGATTTAAAAATTATATTTTAAAATATTGGTGAATTTTTTTTTTTAATTGCTACAATAGACTATAAGTTTTTTTTTAAAATCTAGTCCTAAATTTAAAATACATACTAGGAATTAATTATTTTTTTTCCTTGAAAGATTTGTTGTTTTTCTAAAATAGCGGTAGGAAGAAGATCAGTTGGCTGCGAGATTCGCGGGGCAACCCAAAGTCAAACTAGCAGAAGAGTTGACTTTTTCAAACTAATGACGTGGCGTACAACCCTACGGCGCCGTACCTTCTCCTCTTCATGAGTTTTTTTGGATATGTAAGAATTTGTTTTGCTGTCCAAAAATGGATAAGAATATCCTGACCTAAAATTTCCTCTGTATTGTGGCCCAATGAAAAGGAAAAAAAAAACTCATAGCGACTGCAATGCCTAAAGTCATAAATACATTGTTGCATAGATATACTTAGTGACATTGCAATTTTTTTTATGGGGTAATTTGTTAAATGTCCAAAGTCTGTAAATTTTATCCCAAAAAATACCCTTTGCTAAAAGGGTCGTATCAACGAACAGTCACCACCATTTACCTTTTTTTTCAGTAAACAAATTGAAATCAGTCGTCTATTTTCTTAAAAACTATCTTCAAGAACAATTTTAGAAATCTTTGGAGAATTTTGCTTCATTTCAATAATCAACAAGACGAGGTATGTTATTTTTTTAGCAGAAAGATTTTGAGGTCGAAATAAAGTATTACGAATGAAAGATTTTATCCCGATGAGTCTTTCGGATGAAAACAAATTCTTGGGTATGAAAATTTTCATCTTCTTTCGGACAAAAACAAATTCTTCCTTACAAAAAATTTCAATCTTGAAAGCATTCCGGATGAAAAATAGTCTCTCGGATGAAACAAGTGTACTCCCGAATCTCTCCATCTTTTTCTTCTTTACATGTATTAATACTTTACATGCATAAATGACTTTTGTACACAATAAATATACATTTATGTTCAAAACAAGTGTACTCCCGGACTAATACTTTACATGCATTAATGGTACACAATAAATACTTGGGTTCATAATGTTACGCGAGAAGAGAGAAAAAACCGATGGTAAAACTAGGATTTAATAATAAAGTTGAGGGTAATTTTATCAAAATCTTACATGAAAGGGTAGTTTGCAACGTGGGCAAAAAAGGTATTGTTTGTTAATCTCTCTCCAAAAATGGTATATTTGCGTCAATTTTCTTTTTTTTTTATTGATTTTTTTTTTACTACTAGTGGTCATTTTCCTAACTTGGGTACAAGATATTTGTCATAATTTGTGTGCGGAGTGCGCCAAATATTTTTTCTATCTGAATTTTGTATACGAGTTTCATTAAATAGTAGAAACAATTATAAGGTTTTTTCAACAATTTTTTGGAATGAATATCTGTGTCACTTTAATTTGTTGTTATGTGGAATGTAAATGAATGGATATAATTTCAACGCCTTATCATCCGTACATATCCTCCATATCAGCTCCTCTCTCTATATATAATAAGTACAACGTTTTCTTTCTGTCTTCATCACACCACCCTCTCTCTCTCTCTCTCTCTCTCTCTCTCTCTCTCTCTCTCTCATATATCTCTCCGAGTTCAAAGAAGCCCCCCCCCCCCTCTCTCTCTCTCTCTCTCTCTCTCTCTCTCTCTCTCTCTCTCATATATCTCTCCGAGTTCAAAGAAGCTCAGCATATAGGGGTTTGTGGGTTTTGGGTCACTGGGCAGTCTATTCCGTACGCAGGCACGTTTATACACATCGATACGTACATATATATATGTATATGCGGGATGATGGTGTATGAGCAGATGAATCAGATGACGATAACGACGGCAACGATGATGAAGAAGAGGATGGGATCTGTAGTAAATACACAGAAGAGACAGCTGAGGAGAAGTGTGTCGGCCACGGCGGATGAGAAGAAGGAAGAGACTTTGGATCTCAACGGCATGTCTTTGGTCTCTCTCCCAACCTCTTCTTTCAACTTGGCCTCCATCTCCAAACTCGATCTCTCCAACAATAATCTTCAGGTTCGTGTGTTTGTCTCTTATATATATAAATATATACATATATATATGTATGTATATTCAACTGGTTTTTTTTTCCCGAGATTCAGCTTCTGCTATAGGGATGTATTTGAGTTTTTTTCATATGATGTGGATTAAAAAACAATTATGAGAATTATCGGATGTAGTTTTGATTTCTAAAATATGAGGGTGGTATCCGTAAAACTCTGATTAATTCAGGTACTTGCATAGTTATATAAACATTTTTTTCTTTTTATATGCATGGGAATCTTTCCTTTTTGCCAGTTTTTTTTTTATAAGAGATGACAAACAAAGAAGTCGAAGGGCAACTTTCCAATATATATATATAAAAGAAAGTTTTAGGCGACAGGTCAATATCATGTTCCTTGTTCTTGGATTTATGTCGCTTCCGTTACTTTTTATTGTATAGTCCAGACCAAATTAAAAACTTGAATCCATATCGCATTAGAAAAGTAATATATATGCACCGTATATACGTGTCTATTATACATGTATAGGTGTACGTACGATATCATGTACAGCACAAAAGTTTGTGCGAACCTTGTTAAGGCATATTCGTTAGATGTATTCAACGTGTACGAGTGTAACCCACAAGTGTCTGGCGTTTGTTTTTTTTATGTGTAGGTGCGTGTAGATGTGTATATATGTCTCTCTCTCTATATATACACACACACATACACATCATTTCTTTTTTTCTGTAAAAATTGATTTACTTCTTCTTTAGCCTTGGCCTTGGAGTCTTTAATATATCTGACCTCTTCTCCAAGACTCCAACAATATCCTTTTGACAAGTATGCCTCACCAATTTCTTTTTTTTTTTTTATTGTTTTCTAAATCTAGACTCTAGTTATATAAAAAAATTAGGGTTTTTCGATTTGTATCGGGAAGAATCGGATATTTCATTTTAAAATTTGTATCCGAATGTTACGGGTATGAAGAATTAATATTCAGATACTCGCGTTTATCTGAATTCAGATTTATTTAAAAATAATAATAATATTTATGTAGCAAATTTAAAAAAATAATATCGTATTTTATAAAAATAGACAAGTCGTGGTAAAAGGTATGAGATAATAATATAGAAATAATAATATATTAAATTTTTAAGATAATATTGAAAAATAAAAATTATTTAACCTAAAACAATTATATTTTATAAAAAAATATTATAAAGATGTAGAGTGTAATTGTTCATAACAAACTAGTTGAGCAACCATGAATATTCGTTTTAAAATTTTTTCTTCCTCGAATTCAAATTCAGAATTACGGGTATTCGCAAATTCGGATTTGGATTTAATTTCAAATAGCGATGAATATTCTAAAATCGAGTATCCGCGAATACCTCATTTACAGGCAGTTTTGTCTAATCCTATAGTTTTCGCTAGTGTAATATATAAACCGATAAAAACACTCGTACATATATATATAGAGCAACAAAAAAACTAATGAATCTCTTACATATATATATTTTTTTGGTGGGTTTTTGTAGAACATTCCAGAATCTTTGGTGGCGAGAATGCTAAATGTGATGGCGCTTGATTTGCATTCAAATCAGCTCAAGACACTTCCGAACTCAATTGGATGCCTCTCGAAGCTTAAGATCCTTAATGTCTCGGGAAATTTTCTCCAATATCTTCCCAAAACTATCGAAGATTGCAGGTTAGTCGCCTTTATTATATTTTACATCTCTCGGTTCGAAATTTAATCCGACATCTATATATATGGTTGTGAATATTAACAACTAAACGCGAAACGCAGATCGCTGGAAGAACTAAACGTGAACTTCAACGAGCTGACAAAGCTACCAGACACGATAGGGTTCGAACTGATGAAACTGAAGAAGCTGTCGGTAAACTCCAACAAGCTCGTGCTGTTGCCCAACTCCACAAGCCACATGACGTCACTCCGCGTTTTGGACGCGCGTCTCAACTGCTTGCGTTCGCTTCCCGATGACCTGGAGAACCTCGTCAACCTGCAGGTCCTTAACGTGAGTCAGAACTTTCAGCACTTGACGGCGTTACCTTACTCCGTTGGGCTTTTGATATCGCTCGTCGAGCTGGACGTTAGTTATAACGGAATCACGGCGTTGCCTGAATCCATCGGGTGCCTCCGACGGATTGAGAAGCTCTCCGTTGAAGGCAATCCCCTTGTCTCCCCTCCATTTGAAGTGGTAAGTTTCTTGTTCTTCGTCTCTATTTTCTCCATTGAAACCTTTTATTGATGACGCATTTGAACAAAGTTTGTGCCCCATTAGTCCGAATCCTTATCATAAATCTTGAAAATTATATTTAATAAACTAAATAAGAAAAGAAAAAACAAAATATTACATCTATTTTTCTTAGATTTTGAATTTTAATAAAATATAACTCATGTATTTTTTGGAAAACAGAAAAAAAAATGAAGGCTATAAAGATATGATATGTGACAAAAACAACTAAATTTTAAAAATAAGTGACACAGTTACCACTGAATTTTGTAATTAATTTTGCATCTCTAATTACTCTCAATCATTTACACAATCGCTTTCAATCGACCTCAGCCTTGTTAAATTCGTAGTTGTTTCTTTATTTGAGCAAACTGGTTATTCTTGTATGTAGAAAACGAGCAATGGGTTTGTATAATAAAATGTAGTTTAGAGGAACAAGAGAAACGGTAATTACGTGGTGCAGTAAAAACCGATGGTGAAAAAACAGGTGGAGCAAGGGTTGGAAGCGGTGAAAAAGTACATGAGCGAGAAGATGAACGCAACACGCAAGACTCCGAGCAGGAAAAAGACTTGGGGTGGGCTGGGGAAACTGGTGAAGTACCGTACGTTCCACGGCCTGAGATCGTCGCCGGGGACACCTGGCCGTGAACGCCGGCGAGACGAAGACGAAGAAGAAGAGAGGCGAGGCTTCATCAACGTCTCCGACTACCGCCACATCGACGGGCTCGCCTCCCCCCGCCACGTGTCCCTCTTCACCCCTCGCCGCCTCTTCTCCCCTCTCTCCGGCTACTTCTCTCCTCCCCGCTTCTAGGGGTACTTCCGTCTTTTCACCTCTACATCTTCTTCCTGGTCTCCTTTTATTTTTTTAAATTTTCCCCTCGTGATGTTGTAAGATATGTCGTATGCTCGTGTTCAGACCGTGTTTAGGGAAAGGTTTTGTACCATAAGTGTTGAAAGTTTTGATTTCAATTTGTTATTTTGAAATGTATTATTGTTAGACACGTGTAAATTATGACGTACACACACACACACACACACATATATATATATATATATATATATATTGATGGGCATAAGCTTTTTTTTTTTTATATAGACGGCTACATATCTTGTTTTTTGGGTAAGTGAATCAAATACAAGGCCATTAAGTGGGTCTATTTAACAAGATCATTTGAGGCCCATGTAAATTAAATGGGCCATATTCTGGGCCCGAAAATGTTGTTTGGAGGTGGTTACAAGACCATCCATGGGGCGAACGCACTGATTCTTCATCTGGATAGCTGATTCCGATGCGACGGTGGCGTGAAAGGAATAGTCGGATGGGGACAAATTGGAGGTCAAAGTTTGCGTTCACGTCATGGATTTATCGAATACGGAAATCACTCGAACTTAAGACAAAAAACTCGTGGCATTTAGTTATTTATTAATTTCTCCAAAAAGGGATTTTATCCCAAAAAAGTTATTATTTTTTGAATCGTTTCCTTAGACACGATTTGAATTTTGATCCGGAAGGAGTTTTTAGAGTTTTTGAAATTTAAAAATAAAAAAATAAGCAATCAAGTTTTTATGAATTTGATTTTTCTAAAAATCTGAAAAGTTATATAAGTGAAAAAATCAATTAAAAATTAAAATTTTCATTTTTTGGATTTGCAAATATTACCAAAAAAACAAAAATCAAAACCCAAAAGTTAAAAACTAAAAACAAAAATCTAATCAAAATCTTAAAATAAATACAATCACAAAGCCTTATGCTTTGTTGGGTTTTGTTTTAATTCACTGGAGAGAAAAAAAAAAGAACGAGCAGACAGACACTACATATAATACACTCCATCACTGCCTGTGTGTCTAATGGCCGATGCTGAACCTTGAGTTTCTCTGTCGGACAACTTTCAAACTCAAATCTTCCATAATCAGCGCCACGTGTTCTTCTCTCTTGTCCCCGTCTCTTCTGGTCCTACCCGTCTTCTCGCTCATCTTGATCTGGGCATTACTCTTATGGGTTTTTTTCTTGTCCCCGTATAAATACACAAAACCCGCCTCGATTTCCCCCTTTTTTTGGAGTTTCTCCTGGAGAAATTTGAACTCGGAGACGATTTTAACGACCTGGGTATGGGGGTTTTTGCTCTGTTCTTGGTGCTTTAGCCACGGTTACCAGTGTCCGAATCTGTGACTAGCTTGTAAGGAGACTGAGGGAAGAGATAAAAAGTTACCGAGTCCTAGGATGTTTGGTTTTCTGCTGCGAAAAGGTGAGAGGAAGGTTCTTAAGCGCAAGGATAGCGATGCTGGAGAGCGAGGTAGGCTACTTCTGCACTAATGATCGTTAATGTCGTTACTTTTCTGAGTAATTCGTGTGTTAACTCGGCCGATTTTGGTCGGGTCTGAGACAAATTCGAAGATCTCGTTCTATCAACGTTGTCCAATCTCATTTATCCCCCAACACAGATTCGGGCGCAAACCCTAGATTCTTTTCCCGTTAATATCGTTGGTTTCAGTTGGGATTTTACAGTTTATATATTGAGGTATTGTGTTGTCGTGCTGTTGTTGAAATGCATGTTCTGGCAGCATGGAACTGTACCGTTGTGCTGGAAATGTTGAGATTCTGGGCTTTTCAATTTGATTATAGTGATACTGGATTCGTTTTGGATCTTGATCAGAGCAGGTGAATACAAGTGGATCAAGCTTGGAAGAATGAAACATGCAAAAATTCTTATAAATCATCTATGGCTTTAAGAACAGATTCTTGTTTTTTTCATCGAATAATGGTGGAGCTCATGATCCGATTCAGGAAGAGCGCTCGAGGACTTGAGGGCATCCCTGTTCAACAAATTCCGGTCTTCCCATACAGCGAAGAGACAGCAGCAGCGTACCTGCGGCCCGACCGTCGCTCTCACGTTCAATTTCCTTGTTGCCATTAGCATTATCTTCACTAACAAATGGGTATCCTTTCCTTAACTCTCTGCGTTCCAACTTTGATCTTCAGCTCGGAAATACGGTTTCTTGATTCTTGTTAACTCTCTTCCCCTGTGTTTGTTTTTGTTTCTTCAGGTACTTAAAAATGTCGGCTTTCAGTTTCCTGTCTTTCTTACGTTCATTCACTACGTTGTGGCCTATTTGCTTATGGCGGTCCTGAATTCCCTTTCTCTCCTTCCCGCCGCTCCCGCCTCGAAATCATCCTCCTTGTCATTATATACTCTTGGAATCGTAATGTCCCTTTCTACCGGTCTTGCCAATGTCAGCCTCAAGTATAACAGGTTTTGTATTTTCATGTCCATGGACAACGCCAGCGGGTTAATCTGATTGTTTGGTCTGTCATCTAATTTGCTCTTCTTTTGTTGTCTCCAGTGTTGGATTCTACCAGATGGCGAAAATTGCTGTCACTCCATCTATTGTTTTGACAGAGTTCTTGTGGTACAGAAAGAAAGTTTCGTTTTTGAAGGTAAGCCGAAATCCTTCTCTATATGCCTAGAACCCACGTAAGATCTCGCTGAATCCATGGGCTTTAATGGCTACTTCATTCTTGAAGGGCGAGCTTATGAAATTTTCATCCAATGCTCAATCCTCTTCAGGTGGTTGCCCTTACAGTTGTATCAGTAGGAGTTGCAGTAGCAACAGTGACAGACTTGCAGTTCAGTCTCTTTGGTGCTTGCGTTGCCTTGGCCTGGATCGTACCAAGCTCCACCAACAAAATCTTGTGGTCCGATATGCAACAGCGAGAAAACTGGACGGCTTTGGCGTACGTTAAAGATCCATCGGTTGATTCCCACAGAAGCGAATTTCGTGATATCAGTAGTCTGAAAATACCCATTTCTTGGACAGGTTGATGTGGAAGACTACGCCAATCACTTTGTTGTTTCTCGTGTCGATGATTCCGTTCTTGGATCCTCCGGGCGCTCTGTCCTTCACTTGGAACTTCAATAATACAATGGCCATCCTTTTTTCTGCTCTGCTCGGGTTCCTGCTTCAATGGTCTGGTGCATTGGCTCTAGGGTAAGTCAGTTATACATATATATATATATGTGTGTGTGTGTGTGTATTCCCGGTTTGTCAGTTCTTAAATCTATACATGCACCAGAACTTCCCTGCTGGATTTGAACACTGGAGCTGAGATAGCCATCCCTGTCTTGCCCTTGTGTTTGTTTTGCAGGGCTACCTCGGCAATCTCGCACGTTGTGTTGGGCCAGTTCAAAACATGCGTTGTCCTTCTCGGGAACTATTACATATTTGGGGCGAATCCGGGAGCGACCAGCGTTTGCGGTGCGTTTGTGGCGATTGCGGGCATGTCGTTTTACACGTACCTGAATCTGCGTTCTCAAACGCTAAAGGGCTCTCCTCAGAAAGTTTCGTCTTTGCCCAACAAATCCAGGCTAAGTGAAGAGAGCCATGACACTTTCGGCTCCTCCGAAGCTGTCTGACTTGAAAAGAACTGTCGTAATGTTTATTTATTCGTTTGTCCGAGAAAAATAGGGGGCCAAATTTTGGCCCAAATTCCGAAGGTTATTCTGAGTCCATCCAAAAAATATCAGGTTTCGGATATGAATTTGTAGAAAGCCCAAAACAACCTCACGTTTTCATCTAACAAAAGCCCATTTATTATCTATTGGGCCTGTAAGGCCCATATTAGTAGAAAGCCCAAAACAAATCCCATCCATTTTCCTTGGCAATAAGCCCTTGGCGTAATTTCCAAGACTACATAATTTAAGACCTCACGCGCTTTTCACAATCTTCATCCGTACCTTTTCCGCCTTGAATCGGTCTTCAAAATCTCTGCGAACAAAACCAGTTTGGAACCCTAGAAATCACGACACTGAGCACGCATTTGTCGACTCCGATCCTTCGCATCAATGGCGTACGTCGATCACGCCTTCTCTATCTCCGACGAAGACATCATGGTGGGGACTTCGTACACCGTCGACAACCGGCCGCCCATCAAGGAGATCTCCCTCGCCGTCGCGCTTCTCTTGTTCGGAACCTTAGGGATCGTCTCCGGCGTTTTAATGGCGTACAACAGAATCGGTGGCGATATCGCGCACGGTACGTGTCGGTCGATGATTTTCAGCTTTCTCGCTGCTCGTTTCTGGATGATTTTTCTGTTGGGTTGTCTCGAAAAGTATGAGTAAATATTAGCTTGCGATTTTTCATGAGGCAATGCTATGGTTTGTTGGTCTATCGGTCATATAGGCGAGGAAATTGACTAATTAGTATTGATTAACTAATCCTGAATTTCTCTCTGAGTAAAATACGATTGCGTCTTTTCGAATCTTGTTTCCTGAAAAAGGTAATTTTAGGGGTTTTCCCATAATTTCATGAATTTCCTTTTGTATGTTATGGTCGCTTGAAATTACTTATGCATCGGTTGCTAAGTGGAGGCTATTGAAGAGTGTGAATGTAGTGATTTGCCAGAAAAATAGTTGTCCAGCAGGAGAAAAATGGATTATAGAACGTTCGCAATGCAGTGTTTTCTGGTCACTGCTTCTGCTGATTTTGTGAGTTACAGTGTGAGATTTCTTACTCTGGTAATTTTGGTTGTGACCGATTCTATGTTTCTGTCGTGGATCAGGGCTTTTCTTCACGATCCTTGGCTGCAATTTGTTTATATCGGGCTTTTACTATACACGGATAGCTTACTTTGCTTACAAGGGATATAAAGGTTTTTCTTTTTCCAATATCCCTCATGTGTAGCAGATGAACACTGGCCGTCCCTGCTCTGATATTCCCCACCATTACTGTACAGCAGCTCCTTTGTAAATCTTTGGTCTTGTCTATTAGTTCGTCCATGATTGCATCAAGCTTGTTTTGCTTGGTTTTGTGGTAGCTGACCTATGAGTTTGAAATGTGGACCAAATACCAATCCGATATTTCTTGTAATAATTGAGAGACAGAGCAATAAAATTATACACAGATGATTCCTTGTTTACTCTGTGTGGTACTTGAAACACCGCTTTCTTCACCGATCTACACTCCCAAGTAAGAAACTTGTGTTGAGAGGAGCCATGCCCATTGCCCACAAAACAACTTGGTACAAGGTAACATTTACGTCAACTAGCCTTAATTTATATTAGAATAGATTTGACCCAGGATGCCATATGGTTATATCTATGTTTAGAAGTCCTCCTTGATTGTCCCCGGATTCGGATTTGCGAGTATTCACGGATTTGGATATTTGAATTTGGATTTGAATGTAGATGAGTACTCTAAAATCGGATATGAATGGTTATCCGATTTTTTGATAATTTTGCCCAACCTAGTATTTACGACACCGGACACATTTGAATCAGGGGAAAAAAAAACTGTTTACCGATCAGAACTGCTTGTCGTTTCGCTATGGGCTTCGGTTATTAAATAGTTCGGCCTATTCGGCCCATTTTATTGACAGTCACTCACCCCAAGCAAACGCAATGTTTTCTGCGTACAGATCAGAACTGCGTGTCGTTTCTTATTGGGCTTCTACGATTAAAGTGTTTGGCCCATGGTATCGAAGCCCATCTCTCTTAATCGAAAACGCATCGTTTTCAGTTTACCGATCAAAACTGCATGTCGTTTCATTATGGGCTTCGATGGTTTAAGGTCGCGCCCGTATTATTATGAACAAAGCGGACCGCAATAGGGGCTGGGTGTCATTTGGTAACTATTGATCATAATGGCGCATATAAATTTTTTTATGGCCAATACTCAGACCCACCTAAGTTTTATTAAAACTCTAAAATGACATGTACATTTGGCGGAGACCCAACGGGATTTCAAAAACGACATAGGTTCAAATACTGACAAGCCCAAGGAGAGGCCCAAATCACGGAAAATCTGAACAACGTGTTGCTTTCTTTTCCTCCATCAAAACTGTGTGCTGTTTTTGTACGGGCTTTTATGGCCCGATTTTAGATCCGAAAAGACATACAGCTAGGAGAAAGGTAAAGGCCCAATGGGCTTACACTTATCCATTGCGACATAATAATAACGCCACAGAGGCCCTTTCACCGGATCTATCGTGGATATATAGTTTTCTTGGATCACAAGCTAGGGATATAGTAATCAGCGAAGACAACTTTCTTACTATATGGTCGATTATAGCCAGAAGTTCTTGGTTATACTTCATAAACCAAAACCAAATAGCTAAAGATTCTGGAGGAATAGAGATAAAAGATCCCATCTTTGTTCTGAACTTCTCGGTGAAATTATATAACCAACAAGTCTGAAAACCCAAAATGCGAAACTTCCCAGAAGAGAAGAGAGAGAAGATTCAATCTTTGTTTGCAGAATCCTCATTCTTGACTCCATCACCATTTTCAACCGGAGGTAATTTCTACAGAAGATAAAAAAAAAAGAAATAGAGAAGAAAGGGGAATCAGAAATATCTCAAGGGAATTTCATCGAACACCTTACAGGCATTTCTTCAACAAGGCAGAGTACAGCTAGACATTTCATCGACCACCTAACGAGAGTTTATACAGGAAAAAAGGAACTTACGAGATCGGGTTTGTAGATGTTGTGAACGATTGATGCGCCGGCGAGCAACGAAGCCACGACGACAACGCTTGACCAAGCCAGCGATGGCGTTCCCGTTGGCTGCTTCCCTCCAAACTTTTTGTTCATCTTCGCTTGTTTTGATGTGTGTTTTCTTAATCTACTTCGGTTACCCTTTGAACGACGAGAGAGACAAAAAAAAAAAAAAGACCGCAGATACAGTCGCTGAAATTCTGAACAGTGGGCTCGGAAGCTTAGATTTGGGTTTAGGGGTTAAGAAGGATCCTTAAACGCTGTCGTTGTTACGCCGAAAAGAATGTAGGTGTTTAGACAATCATACGCGCACAAGTCGCGCGTGTATGTCACCGCCCCGAAAACCTCCAATCCACGCGCCTCAGCTATTTTTTATTTTGCATGTCACCATTTCAAAATTTCCTTTCGTGTTACTTTCTTTTATTCCCGACCGATTTGTTTTAGCTTCTTTTGGCCTCAGTTTATTTGATCTTTGTAAGTAATAGAAATTAGAAAAATCTAAAAAACAAATCACATTTTAAAAAATTTATTTATTTCGCAATGATTCAAAATTTCAAATAAACATTTATTTTAAAAATTATACAGAAATCCATAATTTTAAAAACACCAATTTTAAACGTCTTCCATCCATAATTCTTAATAAAACATAATTTTTTTATATAAAAAAGTATATACACAACTATTTTTTAATTTATTTATTTTCAAATAAATTTAAAACACTTACACTAATAATAATTATATTTTTAAAAAATTAGAATTGTAATGGTGATTTAATACATAATTTTTTGGATGTTGTTATAAATAAAATATTAAAATTTATTAGATTTGTTGAATAGTTTTGTAATAGATAATTATATTCAAAATGTATTTAAAATTAATATATTTAAAATTTTAAATATATTTATGAATTTATAATTTAGTATATCAATTATGTGTGTGTAGATCTATTTAAAATCTGATATATTTATGTATTATAATTTTCTAAAAATTATAATTTTTAAACATTTAAAATGTTTATACTTTGTTAGAATTGAAATTTTAACTTGTTTTTTTTGTTAAATAGCGTTTTGTGGGGGTTTTGTATAGATATTTATTGTTTATAATTTTTTGGATGACCATATTTGTTGATCTGAAAATGTAATAGTTTTAAATATATTTCTATAATTATAGGGTTAGAATAAAAAGGATAAACTTTGCAAACTCGTTTTTTAAAATTATTTCTTCTGTTTTTGGATTTCTCAAAATAGTTGTAGTCTATAAAAATTGAAGTTCTCAATGGCGTTTTGAGAGGCAGCGAAAAGAACGTAAGATATATATATATATATATATATATATATCAGCTCCTATTCAAAGAGAGTCCCAATTATTTACACTGCCCTCCCAACAAAGTCAGTATCCATCCAATTTTTATTCATTCTTCCATTTTTATCTTTCGCACGTTATTGTCTGAAAAAAATTACACGTTTGAGAAAACATTTGGCTTATCACCATCTACAAAGCAACAACAAGTCCCCGTGTCTGTTTCTTGACAAGCACGGAACATACGTATGCATGTGTGTGTATGTATATATATATATATATATACGGCGTATACATGTCTCTAAACAGAGGGTTGATTTAACCAAAACCACCCGAAAACAAAAACCACAAGTAGCACAAGTGAGAATCCCATTGCCTGCACCATCACATCACCACAATCCTTATTTCCTTTCTTCCCGGACAAAATTTTGAGACTATGTATCTTTGTATAAAAGTCCACACATATAAATGTGCTAAAACCAATTCCACCTGTCTGATAAAATAGCTGTGTAATGTAATAATGGCATCACCAACCATCTTCAAGATTAGATTTTTTTATTTAATTTTTTTTCCAATATGTCTGCTTTTTCTTTTTATTAAAAGAAATACTTGATAGAAAATAAAAAACAATTATTTTTTATTCGATTTAATTATATTCAAGTGTTATTCCATTTGATTTGTATGAGAAAGGGAAACTTTGAATCCACCAAACTCATCAAGACATTCTCTCATTCTATAAATTATTGATTTTGAAACTTTTGAATACGCCAACAAAATTGAACTACATCAAATACGACAGAACTAATAAATAGATGTTGGGAAAAAATAAATAGTTTTTTAGGTCACATGGTGCATTTACTAAATACAAATTGAGCCGTTTAGATTAAATAAAAATAATATTCATATATGTGCAATTTGGATTTCTCTAGTTGAATTTTTGCTCAGTCTCATTTGGTGCATAGAATAAAAAATGTTATGGAACATAATAATCGAATTAATAATTATTTATGATTTCCTTCGTACGAAAAAAAAAGAACAAGATGATAATAATAATGACGTAATATTGTTTTGGGCTTTATTAAGTAAACAGATTGGGCTAAGCCCAACAATTTGAAATGGATTTCATCCAGTGGGCCCACAGACCAAATCCTTCTTATAGCCACCAATTATGTTACACCGACAAAACAGTATCGGTCTTGAGTCTTGACTGACTGATCTACGACATGACGTCATCCTTTCCCTAGGATCCTTCCGGTAATAGTTGCCGAAATAAAGAAACGTAGCATAGTACCACATGAGTGGGAATGCAAACCCCAGTAGAAAGCTGTAAGACATGAAAACGAGGAAAAGATGAAATCGAGATCGAACACGTTAACAAATAAGAAGCAGGATGTCGGAACGAAAGCAAGCAATACTCACGAGAACCACCCGATTCCACAACCAAAACAAGGGAGAGGTTTGTCATATATCCCCTGTTCCATGCAGTCCATGTCTTTTACAAGCGTATATCTTCCTTTCCCACAAGCCACAGCATCTATCAGACAGACCCAATAATGTCACACAATGTCTCTTAGAAGGCAATAAAACAGCCCGTATAACGACCAAGTCGCGTTCTAAGAACAGAAGATTTGCTGCAAAGCAAATAATGTAGGCACAATTTACGAATCGAACAGACCAGATGGTTTATTTTGGAATAGTATGAATTAGGACATAGGGTTATCCCACAAAGTATTCTACAAAGGGCTAGGTTAGCGGGAACGTTTTACCTTTTAATGCAGAAAAATACCGAGCAGTTGGCCTCACGAGATCGGCATGCTTATTAGAGACGGATTTCACCAGCTCAACATCACTCTCTCCAATCATTTTCACGGCCCCCAATTGAGTATCTGTAGCACAAAGATGCGGTATTTGTTGCACACACACAAAACTGTATATCCACCTAGTCAGCTAACAGTAATCATTTCGTTAATACAAAAGGGCCAAAACAAAAATCTTCAAAGTATATCACTACACCGGAGAAATCAAACAGACTATACCATGGAAACAAGAGTGACAATCAGTATTGTCCGATCTCAACAACCATCATGTCATTATATGAATCACGACTAATATACCACGATAGAAGAGCATTCGGGGCCTGTAAACTACTCATTTCTCCGAAAATTGATCAGATGCAATCATGAAGATCAAAGGGAAGAACAGCATTTAGTAATCTCAGTGTCACTCCCAAACACGATATTGCATCAATCAGGAGTGATATGCCCAGAGAGCTAGTAAGTTACTCAGTATATGAATATGGTAAATCTCTGATGCACTCTTTTCCTATTAAACTGGACGGACTGTCGCTTTGCACACAGATTAACGGGATTCCTGTCAATTATAAAACCTAGTATGAACATGAGACATGAAGAGAAGAAAATGATTACTTTCCGCCATTCACAGAGCTGAGCTCGCAGAAGGGTCCGTACAAATGTCTAGGTCCCGATACGCTGAGACGTCAGTAGGACACTTCCCTCCGACCAAAACCCCCTGCATCCCACAGCTACAACAGTCTGATTCCACGGAAAATAATCGAAACCATAAGGCGGGTTTCAGTCAACGAAAATCAGAGACCACGACCGTTTCAAGCGAAACCCTAGCATAGCAGTGAACAAGCTAACGAAAATTTGAAAATCCTTTCGACAGAACCGTGAAAGACAGAGTCTCAGGACACGAGTTTCTCTCAGAGAAATTCAGCAAACGAGCTAGATTGTAGCTCATAATAAAAACCCTAGAAATCAATCAAATCCTACGATCCAGCGCTGATTGCGCACCGAAGATCGCACGATGAAAGAAGACCGATTGAGAGGAGGACTCACCAGGGGAAATCAGTTTCGGATTGGTGACAACGTTACGAGGATTTGAGATTGGGAGCAGTGAAAGAGAAGAGAGATGATGGAATTGGAAGTGGAAATCTCTGAGGGGAAGTCTTCAAGTCTAGCGATGTCCTTATTTGTCTTCAACTTTGTCGGCGTTAATGCGTTCAAAACGGACTTCCCACATCGGACTTTTTCTGTCTGATAAAATAGCTGTGTAATGTAATAATGGCATCACCAACCATCTTCAAGATTAGATTTTTTTATTTAATTTTTTTTCCAATATGTCTGCTTTTTCTTTTTATTAAAAGAAATACTTGATAGAAAATAAAAAACAATTATTTTTTATTCGATTTAATTATATTCAAGTGTTATTCCATTTGATTTGTATGAGAAAGGGAAACTTTGAATCCACCAAACTCATCAAGACATTCTCTCATTCTATAAATTATTGATTTTGAAACTTTTGAATACGCCAACAAAATTGAACTACATCAAATACGACAGAACTAATAAATAGATGTTGGGAAAAAATAAATAGTTTTTTAGGTCACATGGTGCATTTACTAAATACAAATTGAGCCGTTTAGATTAAATAAAAATAATATTCATATATGTGCAATTTGGATTTCTCTAGTTGAATTTTTGCTCAGTCTCATTTGGTGCATAGAATAAAAAATGTTATGGAACATAATAATCGAATTAATAATTATTTATGATTTCCTTCGTACGAAAAAAAAAGAACAAGATGATAATAATAATGACGTAATATTGTTTTGGGCTTTATTAAGTAAACAGATTGGGCTAAGCCCAACAATTTGAAATGGATTTCATCCAGTGGGCCCACAGACCAAATCCTTCTTATAGCCACCAATTATGTTACACCGACAAAACAGTATCGGTCTTGAGTCTTGACTGACTGATCTACGACATGACGTCATCTTGAAGCTTGACGACGTGTCACACGACGAAAGTTTTTTTTTTTGCAAGGCAATAATGTTTTTTTTTTGTGGGTTGGTGGGTTGGTCACGAAATGCAATGATGACTTTGGATGGAAATGAGAACGAGGTCGTGACTCGTGGGGAGGGAGTAAAGTCAACGGAGGGTCATTGACCGTTATACATCCTCTTCGTCTTCGTCTTCGTCTTCGTCTTCCTCGTTGACTGATATATCCGTTTCTTCTACATCTACTGATCTCCGACTCTGTGCTTTTTTTGGTGTATGTATATGTCAGACAGACACGTGCGGAGGACAAATACCCTCGATTGTGTTCTGTTTTTCTTCAGGGAGGCTTCGATCTAGTCATGAAGAGAGGTTGCCTCAGCCCTAATCTCAATCTCTCTCTTCCTCCTCCCGAGCAATCCATCTCCAAATTCCTGTATCTCTCTCTCTCCGCCCTTTTGCTCAATGGGTTTTAAGTTTCCGTACGATTTCTATATTCTGAGTGTTTTAGATCAATTGTGAGCAATCTTTTTGGTAGAATGTTTCATGCGTTTGATTACTAAGCTTAGTTTCATGGTTGTGTTATCAGATCGATAATGGGCTCATGTCACAATTACCTCAACAGCCTTTAGCACCGAAAAACTTTGGATTATAATTACCATCACATGATTTTTTTTCCCATTCAAACGCTGAAAATAGCTGCTTTAAACGTCGTCTGTCTGTGTCGGACAGGACACAGAGCGGGACGTTCAAGGACGGTGACCTTCGAGTGAACAAGGACGGCATCCAGCTCGTGTCTCAGTCCGAACCCGGGGCTGTAATCTTTTTTCTTCTACGGGCTTTATCCCAAGTTCCATTTTCCCTGTCTATTTTCGAAAAAAAACAAAATCCCTTTTCTCATTGCTTATATTCAGACAAAAATTGGATGTTTTTTTTTCAATTGCAGCCGCCTCCAATAAAGCCTTTGGATGACCAATTGAGCTTAGCGGACTTAGAAGTGGTTAAAGTCATCGGGAAAGGAGGCGGTGGCAATGTCCAGTTAGTGAAACACAAACTCACTTGTCAGTTCTTCGCTCTCAAGGTGTTGTTATCTCTTTGGTTTTGTCTTTTGCCTGTGTCGTCAAGAATTACATGATGTGCAATCTCTTCTTTTTGTTGTTGTTATTGATAATCATAGTTTATGTGAGATCGGGCGATCCGACATGACGTTTTCAGTCATTTCTTGGCGAATAAAGATTGCAATTTCACCTAAACGTTTACAGGTCATTCAACTGAACACGGAAGAATCGACCTGCCGGGCCATTTCTCAGGAGCTGAGGATAAACCTGTACTCGCAATGTCCGTATCTCGTCTCGTGTTATCAATCTTTCTACCACAACGGAGCTGTTTCGATCATCCTCGAGTTCATGGACGGTGGGTCACTCTCCGACCTTCTGAAAAAGGTCGGGAGAATCCCGGAGGACATCCTCGGCGCCATCTGTAAGCGAGTAAGCTACAACGAAAAACCCTAACTTCCACCCCAAGGAAACCCCCCTGACAAAGGCACGTTTGAAACCGCAGGTTCTTCGAGGCCTGTCTTATCTTCATCACGAGAGGCGGATCATTCACCGTGACCTGAAACCATCAAATCTTCTGATCAATCACAGAGGTGAAGTCAAGATCACAGATTTCGGTGTCAGTAAGATCTTGACGAACTCGACCAGCCTAGCTAACACGGTCGTGGGCACGTACCACTATATGTCTGTGAGTTTGAGTCAACTCGTACACTCATATTGTGTGTGTATGTATATATATCTATAGATCTGTACTGGTGTTGTGATCTTTGCAGCCGGAGAGAATCCGCGGAAATTCGCATGGGAACAAGAGCGATATCTGGAGCTTAGGCTTGTTGTTTCTCGAGTGTGCGACGGGGAAATTCCCGTACTCGCCTTCCGAACCTGGGGAGAGATGGACGAACGTATACGAGGTGGTGGACGCCATTGTTGAGAGCCCGCCTCCTCGAGCTCCGTCCGGTCAGTTTTCTCCGGAGTTTTGCTCGTTCGTTTCCGACTGGTGAGACCGCTTTACGGCTTCTTTAGATTCCCTTGAAGGATGGAAGTTTTTCATTTCTTTGTAACGGGTCAAAGTTTTGTGCTTGTGCCGATTTGTTAGCATACAGAAGAACCCAGAAGACAGAAAATCAGCAAGGGAGCTTCTGGTGCGTATAAACCCCTACATATATATATATACACACACACGCGCACATACATATGTGTATAGATATAATTATACGTATGTATGTGCGTTTCTTCTTCATTCTGAGATTGTGTGTTGGATGGGAAACAGGAACATGGGTTCGTGAAAATGTACGATGAAGCGAGCGTGGATCTGTCGTCTTATTTCTCAAACGCAGGCTCCTTGACCCCCAAGCTTCCCATTTAGATTGAACGGCCATGACATGTAAGGGTGTTCATGTTGTCGGGAGGGGAATATATATATCGATTTTGCCCAAATATTCTAAACAAATAATATTTTTTTTAACATAATGTACGATCTTGATTCTGTATTTCTTTCGTACAAAATTGTCACGCGTATCGTACATTTGATAACCCAATAACAGTAGCATATCTTATACAACACGTTAGTAAAAATGAATAAACACACCAGTGGTGAAAGTAACAGTAACAAGCGAGGAATGAGATTTATTACAGCGATTAATCATATAATATAACCCCCCCTTTGGACCCATCATCAAAAATGTTCCTTACCCATTTTGATTTGAAGGAAAAAAAAACCCTTTCATGAGTTCAAAGCTTTGCTCTTAAACTTCCTCTGAGCCTTCAAGTCCACAACCACAACGCTTATGTTGTCTTTGCTTCCTTTCTGCAACGCCAGCTTCGACAAATACTCAGCCGCCGACTGAGCCGCAGGGTCCATCCCTTCCACCGGCGCCGTTCCCACCGGCAACATTGCCTCTCCGGCCACCGCCCTTTTCTTGTGCCACAGCAGTATCCTCTTCCGTGCCACGTCGCACACTTCCTCGCACGTCATCACGTCCCAGAGGCCATCGCTCGCTAGGATGAGGCAGTCGTCTTCTTTCGCTCGCCTCGTCACTGTCACTTCTGGGTCCGGAATGATCGAGGGCTTTAGGTATCTGTCTCCTGGGAAAAAGGGCATGTTTTTTTTTTTGTTTTGTTTTGGATTTTCGGAGATCTGTAATGGGTTTTGACGGAACGATTTCCGGGAGAAGACAAAGCTTACCGATTGATCTTGACATGGCCAGAACGCCGAAAACACGAGCTCCATTCCACCGGATAACTTTCCCGCCGGCGGCTTCTATCCTCGCAGCTTCGTCTTCTCTATCCGGCTATACACACAGCCAACACAAAAGTATATATACATCATCAGTAAACGGTAAAAAAAAACCCTTACCCAACAAGAAATCTACCAGAAAGTTACAGACTTCTGCCCATCTGGTGAGAGATCGAAGAGAATCCTGGCCATAGGAACTTACTTTGTGATCAACTGATAAGGGGAGAGGGGTTTTGCCACGGCAGAGAAGGGCTCTCGAGTCGCCGCAGTTGGCCACGAATATATGGGTGGGGAAGACGAGGGCGACCACTGCGGTGGACCCCACTGTCTCAGGAGCGACAGATTGGATCTCTGAGTCTATCTTCAGGAACGAATTGAACAGAGCTCTCTTCCATTTCTCCTGCCATGTCTCCCCATCGCATAGCGCTGGCTTCTCCTTCGCTATCTCCTCTGCCAACGCCCTGTGAGCTCTCTCCCTGCAATAATTCGCCACCTACAGAGAATACTGTGTTTATGCCTCTGAATTTTTATAGATTCAACAGTTCAGATCCAAAGGAAAACGATTTCACAGATTAAGATCGTCACCCACAAGACAGAGTAAGCCCCTAGTACAGAGAATTATACTACACAGAGGTAGCGAATTAGTATTTACCTGAGAGCCGCCATGGCCGTCGAAGATACCGAAGAAATGAGCACTCGTACGAGGATTAAACCCGTTAGAGACACGGCCTTCTGACAACGTGTTACATGAAACCTGAAGAAACCTGGGAATCGCCGAAACAGCGTCTTCCATTTCTGGTCGTCTTCCACATATCGAGGTTACTCCGTACAAAGGCACGTTCTTGAACTCGAACAGACTTCTGCTCTCTGTTCTGCTGATTATCTTCTTCTCGCTCTGAGCCGTTGATCTCGGGTCAAACTCCTCGGAGCCGTTGATCTCTTCGCCGACCAGATCGGCGACGGCGTCTGGTGTTTCAATCCGCTGTAAATTCGAAGAATTGATCCGAAAGTTCAAGTCTTTCTTAGATTCATCACTGTTAGCGATGGTTTTTGCGCCGGAGACAAGAGACCCAGAGCACGAAATCTCCGACAACGAGGACCCATGTTTCTGATTCGTGTGGACAGTACCACAAACCCTAGAATCGCCATCGTCGGTCGGATACTGGCCATTGCAGTACCCTTTACTTAGCCTGAGTCCGGTGAATTCTAGCTGAGACTCGGGGAACGGCCTGAATGGCACAGCGACAGCCGGAGATGCTTCATCCATTGATGAACTCTGATTCTGACCTCACCAGCGAAACCCTGATCTCACAAAGTCAAACCTGAAAGTTAGTGATTTGAAGGGAACGGTGGTAAATTTGCGAAATGGGTGTGAAGAAACAGCAGAGCTTGAGCCTTTTCCGTCTTTATTTTTTTTCCCAAAGAAGTTAGAGGAGAGAGATGACGACGACGACGACGACGATCTATAGAACAACACCCAATAGACAGAAAAAAGAAAAAAGAAAAAAAGTCCACAAATTTCTACACAAATTTAAGAGGGAGGGGCTATATGCAAGAAACCCATGACACGAAAGGGAAAAGGGAAAGGAGACAACCTAAATCAGAGAGCATGAAAGAGGACCAGAAACAGATAGAAATGCCCAGAAAGAAAGAAAAAACAGATAAATTTTCCAGGGAAACTAACTACCCAGAAAGAAAAAAGAAAGAAAGAAAAGGAGATCCAAACCAATCAGGGGTTTCCTGGATCTTAGGCAATTCGTTTCAACCTCTTAGAGATTCTGTGATTCTCTCTCTCTCTCTCCAATTAATTTCCAACTAAAACCATTTCCGGCTTCAACCAACTAAAGTTGAAAGAAGGCTCCTTTCCTTCTTCTTCTTCTTCTTCTTCTCCTCGCTCACTCCCTTTTTGTTTTCCTGTGTACCTTTTAAAAAATAAAAAAAAAAAGAAAAGAAAAGGGTGCGCAGAAAATGCTCTAAATCTGCCACATATGCAACAGAGGATCTTTGAATTATTACACAAGGGGGGAGATGCTTCTGTCCCCGAAGATCATCGGAAAGAAAAGACACCCCCTTTAAGCTCCTTATATTTACAACAAGACAAATCACTGCAGAATCCGATGTCTCCATTTGTCGTACCTTTGTCATTTACTCCTCCGCCTTCTCCCCCTCCATTTAGATTCTGCACCCTAAATTCAATCATTTCAATCAGAACTCGCCAAAACTCATGGATAACAACATTTTACTTACAATATTTTTTCAGAAAAAAATAACATTTAGAGAGATATGATCACTTTTCTTTAATTCTATGAGTCACACGCAAAACATTAAATTATTTTTGCGATTTTTAGAGGTCTCAATTAAAATTTAAATTCAACGAAGCGAGAAGGAAACAGTGATGTGTTGTCCAAAGAGTAATATTAATTTTGGCAATATTAATTTTATCCACGCAATTAGAAACAAAAAAGGTGAAAAATAAATTGGGAGGATATGGGACCCACATGCGTAGAGTACCGGCGGATAAGCGCCACGTAGGCGAGGGAAGATCCGGTTTCGGTGACCAAAAGAGGGTGACGTGTACGGTGCGACATCTGTTCGTTGGGTGGCGGGAAAGATGAAGAGAAAAGGTTCATTCATTGCACTGACAGAGACGGCCCCCTTAACTTCCATAAATATCTTGTGTTTCTTTTTTTTAAAAATTAAAATTTCCCTAAAGCCACGTGTCCTTTGTTTTTTGGACACCCGTATCCTGATATGTTTTTTTTTAATAAATACAGTGAACCAATCGTGTACTGTTTAATATCTGTCAAAAAAATATTTGTTTAATTAGAAAATGAAACAAAACTATATACTTTTCTTATGGATTGCGACCCATTTGATCCTTTTATTTTCATATACGTGTTCGTCCCCTTTTGGGCAAACGTAGATTCATGCAATATAATGCATATATAAAATAAAAAGGAAACTTCTGTGGTATGAGTGATGAAGAAAATTATAAAGTATAAAAAAATTTACAATATGAAAAAAAAATGTGATTACAGTCATTGCTAGAAAGATTATCATATCCTAATTGTGACATTTATTGGGCAACAAGTGAAAACAGAACAATTATAAAATGGGCTAAAAATGGGCCTTTGGGCCCATTAAAATTTTTATGGGCCGAATAAATTGGGATTTTAGGGATCAATATGAAGATATCACATAAAGTTATCTGCAAATATTTCATTAGTTGTGTGTTGTTGATTCAGATGGGGGAAGTTTCCCACGTTATAACCTTTCCTCGAAATTTACCGGTGGTCGTTAACCTGAATCTCTCTCCATTGACTTGGGTTTGCTTTCTCAGTGTGTTATCAATGGCGGTCTAGTCTGAGTCCTCTGATTCTCTCTCCGATTTCGGAATTTGTGGTTTTCATCGGATGGTTGATGGACAACAGAGGTGGATTCTCCGATTCCAACGAAATCAGTTACACCACGACGGAGGACACTGAATCATCCATCGTTTTTCTGGCGGATGGTCTCACGGCACCGGAGGTCTCGGCTCTGCAACTTCTCTCTTGTACCCTCGAGTCGGTGTTTGATTCTCCGGAATCGTTCTACAGCGATGCCAAGCTGGTCCTCGCCGGCGGCGAGGAGGTCTCCGTCCACCGCTGCGTTCTCTCGTCGAGAAGCCCCTTCTTCAAGAGCGCGTTAGCAGCCGCGGCTAAGGAGAAAGAAGGAGGCGGTGAAGGATCGTCAGGCGCCGTGAAGCTCGAGCTGAAAGAGGTCGCTAGGGATTACGAAGTCTGTTTCGATTCGGTCGTGGCTGTTTTGGCCTACCTTTACAGTGGCAAGGTGAGGCCACCGGCGAAGGGAGTGTCCGACTGCGTCGACGAAGATTGCTCTCACTCGGGGTGTAGACCGGCGTTGGATTTCGTGGTGGAGGTTCTATATCTGGCCTTCGTTTTCCAGATTCCGGAACTAGTTACTCTGTATCAGGTATTCCCCCTTTGATTATACCAATTTTAGTAAATTCAAGTGTGAATTGCTTTTCATATTTTCGATGTTTGTGTCACATTTTGATTCCTCGTCTTTTGCATTTCCAGAGGCATTTATTGGATATCATAGACAAGGTTGCAAAAGACGACATCCTGATCATCCTCAAGGTAGCCAACATCTGCGGTAAAGCATGCAAGGGACTATCAGACAGATGCATCGACATCATCGTCAAGTCTGATGTGGCTATAGTTAGCCTTGAGAAATCCTTACCCCATCACATTGTCAAGCAAATAATCGACACCCGAAAAGAGCTGGGTCTAGACACACCTCAACTGGATAAACATGTCAGGAACATACACAAGGCACTTGACTCGGACGACGTGGAACTGGTCAGGATGCTTCTGAAAGAAGGGCACACCAACTTGGACGATGCTTGTGCTCTTCATTTTGCCGTGGCGTATTGTGACTTGAAGACCACAACAGAACTGCTGGACCTTGGGCTAGCTGATGTGAACCACAGGTGCATTAGGGGCTACACTGTGCTTCATGTTGCTGCCATGAGGAAGGAGCCGAAACTGATAGTGTCTCTCCTGACAAAAGGGGCTCGGGCTTCGGATACAACACCTGAGGGTATGACGGCTCTCCAGATCGCTAAACGGCTCACCAAAGCCGCTGATTATAATAGTTTCCCAGTGCATGGCAAGCCCTCTTCCAAAGATCGGTTATGTATAGAGATCCTGGAGCAGTTAGATAGACGAGATCTGTTGCCCGGAGAAGCCTCTTTATCACTCGCAATGGCCGGAGAAGAACTGAAGATGAAATTGCTCTACCTTGAAAACAGAGGTATCTATCTAATTTTTTCCTTCCGACACAGGGTCGGATAGAATGAACTAACTGACGGGTGTGCTCTTGTTTGTATGCTTTTTTTTTCCAGTTGCACTAGCGAAGCTTCTGTTTCCGAGGGAGGCACAGCTTGCGATGGAAATTGCCCAAGTGGACGGGACGTGCGAGTTTACATTAGCCAGCCTGGAGCCAGACCGTCTAAACGGGTCGAAGAGGACGGCACCAGACCTAAACATAGCGCCTTTCAAAATCCAAGAGGAGCATCTGCGTAGACATAGAGCACTCTCAAAAACCGGTAATGAATCCCCAAAACCAGTTTCATCTCTTTCCTCATTAACCACCAACAAGAAAAAACAATCGAAATCTTCGCACTTACATCGTTTTTTTTTCCTTGTTTTTCATCTTTTTAACACAGTGGAGCTCGGGAAATGCTACTTCCCGAGATGCTCAGCGGTACTCGATCAGATCATGGATGCGGAAGACTTGTCGCAACTGGCTTGCATAGAAAACGACACTATAGAGGAACGGCTCCAGAAGAAGCAAAGGTACATGGAACTGCAAGATGCTCTAGGCAAGGCCTTTAACGAGGATAAAGAGAACTTTGATAAGTCATCAATCACTTCCTCATCTTCCTCCACTTCTAAGTCCACTGCTTCGAGAGGACTCAATGGTAAACTCACTCAACGGCATTGATAACTCTCGGGTTTTGACACTTACCCCTTGCCCCTCTCCCTTTTCTCTTTTTTTTTTGTAATTGTACCATTTTTTTTTTTGGTAAACGAATTGTACCATATATTTTCTCATCCTTGTATTATAATTGCGAGTTTGTGATATAACTCATAGAATACAGGTTCGTGATACGTATACCTTAAGCAAATTTCAATCAAAGTGTAAGTTTTTTGTTTACCTCATCTTAAGTGAAAGCCAGACATCAAATGATTGCAGAACTGCCTCTTTTTCCCTGAAGCATAAAAGATTCATCCACTGAATATCTCTATATGATGAAGCGTAAAAGATAAATAACTTTTACCTGTCATCGGTTCTCAGCTGAGGCTCGCCAAGAATTCCAAGATTTTCGAAGAGTTGTTCCTTGAGTGTGCGGCATCGCCCTTGTTATCTGTATCGAGCTTATTTACAGCTGCGGGATCATTCGTGCATTTCTTAGTCTTCCCAGGATCCAATTCCGCAGCGAGTTTCAGGGCTGATATAAGTGTCTTCTGAGTTTGAAAGATTGGTGTGGCCTTTAACTGTCCACTTGTCGATGGTTGCGAAGACATTTGACGCTCATGCTGTCCGTCTGGTGCATTTGCTAGAGTCTTCCCCTTGAATCTGTCGCTTCCGAATGACAGGAAGCTGATTCCCTTTGGTGGTGACGACGACGATGCGGGAGGAAGAGGATTGCCAGTGATTGGTGTAGTTTTGGATGTGGTCTTCTGAAGCGCATCTTTCAAAATATTTTCTACGGAAGGGGAACTAGCTTGCTCGTGCTGCGGCATTTTGGGGATGTTCCCTGATGAAGTTTTGTCTAAAGATAGAAAGCTTATACCCTTTGGAGGCACGGAGGGTTTCCGGGGAGGAGTCCCCGCTTTCTCATGTTCGTTGGTCTTTGGAGACGATGTCTTCATAAACGAAACTGGGCTAGAAAGTCTTGATGGGAATGCGGTTGGAGGTTTGGTCGTGGTTGGTTTATTTGTATTCTGAGGAGAAACCCCAAATGAGAAAGATGCTGCAGAAACGCTGTTAAGGGAGGAGGGTCCGCTTGCGTTTGGTGTCCCTGACTTTGATGCGTCCAAAGCACACCCAGGGGTACCCTGTAAAGGATGATATTATTGTTAAGACCATGGTGTGGTTAATAAAGGATGGCCACTTGAATTCCGAAACTGAATGCAAAACAATAGCATAACAATGAGAGAGATTAGAGATAATAAATACCTTGTGGGAAAACAAACAATTATCGCCTCTGTGGCAGAAACCTTTGGTAGTGAAGTTATTGCAAGGGTATTTGGAAAGATCGTGGTCGAATGGACAATCTTCCCCTTTCATACATGACTGAGTTGCAAAGTAGCAGCATGGCTGCAACCAACACAAGTGAGACCCATGTGTTTGAGTGTGAGTGAGACGTTAAAGAAACCGCAAGGAAGTTTTTTTCCTACTGAAGGATTAAATTCACATGACAACTTAGTTAAATGATCAGAGTAACACTCCGACTTACGGTCGCAAAGGCGTGTAAGATTGAGCCTTGTCAAAAGAATAATGGCAAATATTGAAGTAGCAAGCAATTAAGCAAGTAGGTCCAGTATCTTACCGAAGATTTGGTCAAGGGTACTATATCGTGGGAATATCGGCAATTTTCTCCCTGCAGAAATTTAAAAAAGAAAAAAATAAAAACTCAGCTGAGTTACAAGTTTCACTGATCATAGAAAATTTTTCATGTTTCGCGTAAATTTGTAGAATGCACAGCATTGCATGGCACGGACCTTCTGGCATCGTCCCTTCAGATAATGACAGCAATACTTTATAACCTTCGGTTTCGCAACTACTGGTTTCAGCTTCAGCCTTTTAACACCAAGCAATCTGCGTTCTTCAGCTCGTCTCTTCCGGAAATTTGCCTGGAAAAAACACGTTATAAGTAAACATTTTTCCCGAAAAGCAGAGCAGGAGACATGCTATAATGAAGGCAAGGAAGTATACACCACCTTCTTCTTAGAATTGTTTTTCTCGGAGCGAGCAGACCTTTTCTTCTTAGCAGAACCAACATTTGAATTCTGATAAATAAGTTTCTATACAGGTCAGATTTGTAAGTAACATCAAGTAATCCAACTGTGAGAGAGCCCATAACTGTGAATATTATATAAACATGAATGCATTATAAACAGATCAGATCATAAGGAAAACTAGATAATATCATGCAGATACCTTGTCTTTGCAAGAAGTTTCATGACTCCCACTCCCTCTGCTTTTTACTTTCTCATCATCTGTCATATGATCATCCAAATTGCCTACCTCAGCATCAAGTTTTCGTCCCTTTTCGCAAACAACTTCAGGAAGTGATACAACTGCATTGGAGGGAATAGAACTCAAATTTTGTCTATTAGCACTATAGATGTCATTGGTCCCTCCATCATCGATTGTATCATCAGTAACTTGCTCCTCATCCATCCTTTCCACTGGTTCATCTTCTCCCAAATGCAGATCGTCATAATTAATGTTAACATCCCCAAAAATCTCTCCTTCTTCAATATCTTCATCTCTGATCATCTGAGTAACATTGGTCGCAAAGCCATGACTACTATTACCATCCTCCGCCATACCTTTTCCTGGAGGTAAATCGAACGATTCAGACATCTTCTTATTGCCCTCTTCCAGATCACCTTGAATTTCACTTGTGATACGAGGATCTAGAGGTTCTTTGGCATTGTCCTCCAGTGATGCAATCATATTGGAACTACCATCACTCACTTCCAATATTTCAAGGAGATTCATGCAATCTTCTGGGAGAAGGTCATCCTCTTCATTTAACATAAGCTCTAACTCATCCATTATTTTCTGGCTCCGACCATCCATTCCATCCTGCAAATCAGTTGCGTCAAAGTTATTGCCAGGCATCAAACTGTTTTCCAGGTATTCAGTATCCATCTTGTCCGCCATTACATTTTCCGTATAGTCCGGAACGTCTCTCGACTCACCAAGCCCTACATCTTTACGACACTGAGCCGCACCAGACTGATCTTGAGGGGTTCTTGCTTCCAGCATTGATGAATTCTCCGGCTCAGTGTTACCCGAAGGAGGACAAATTTCACCAGGTTCACATGTTTCTTTCAGAGACACTTGAGCAGCTTCGTTATCCACATTATCATCTTCGGAAATACATTAAAAACAGAATCGACAATCAGAACATTAGTAACAACAAGACCAGAGGTTATACATATATTTTGTGGTAAAATCATCGACTCAACCATAATAAAACCGAATTTGTGATTATTCAACACTTTAATTCCGGATCAAGGAACAGAAGAACTTCGATTTCCATCAAAGCAAGAGAAGCACTTTAATTCCTTCTTCTAGAATACGAATTCGAAATTGAAAGTCAAGCAATACGATATCTTCAATTTAATCACAACAGCTAACAAAAAAAATCGACGAAATCCAACTCACCTGATCTTAGGACCAGCTCCTGAAGCACGGACGGTGTAGCAAGAGAAACACGAGACTTGCCACTGAAACCGGAGAAGATACGAACCAGAGAGAGATACGTACGACTCGGGAGATGCGACCGGCGGCGACGAAGAGAAAACGGGGCTTCCACGGTCGATTCCATTCTTCACCGCCGGAAAATCTGTGGCGGTTGACGATTTTTAAACTCTGCGTGTGAAACACCGTGATGGGTTTTTTCCCCTCAGCCACCGAAATAATTTATAGTATTCTAATGCATAGTCCATGGATTAACTAAACGGTGTCGTTTAAGGCCACAGGACGACGTGGATAAAAATAAAACAGTCTATAAACGGCGTCGTATAGCCCCAAATTACGGGAATATTACTCAAATAACCCACTTGTGTCGCAGCAATTTCAGTGTACACCACCCAAAAAAAAAAAAAAAATTTTCGACCTT